CCTTGTCCGTAGAGACAGTGTCATTGAGTAACAGATACTGAAGCTCAGTGTGTTGCTAGTGATCAGAGCGCAATGCATTTCTCTCCCTGTTTTATTAAGAGGGAAATTTTGTTTTGCGGCTTGGATTTTCTTCTACTTTTATGCTGTCATTACTATCATAAAAGAAATGCTTAACTGCCCCCATCATGCCTGAACATGAGGCTGTATTCCTTCAGGAACTCTTCACCAATTCATTTATATTTGCAGAGCTGAAATTGCCCCCAAATGAGCACTTAAGCAGAAATGAGAAGGTTTGCGTGCCGTAGGCTAGAGAATTAGCTGATCGTCCCTGATTATTCTGTGCTGGTACCGCTGACACCAGAGGGAAATTAATAGCATTTTTGAAGTATGGCTCCCAGTGGTATTTTGCACGGTATTTTGAGAAAAAGGAGCATAGGTTTGGGGAATTACCGAAGGGAAAGGGGGGATTTTCTCTCAGAGCTTTTAAATATCTGCTGATTTTAAGTGTCTTCTCCAGTCCCTTTCAATATTCTGGTGTCAAGGCTGTGATTTAGGTGGTTTCAACAAAAACACACCATTCGGTGAGGGCCTGTGTCAGGGGGTGGGAGCGGGCTGGGAGAGGTCAATGGGGGAAAAAGGAGACGTGTGTAATACTTTCATCAATAAAGAATTTAAAAAAGCAACTACAAACAAACAAAAAACCTAAAAACACACCATTCAGGTGGGTGTCTCATTATCAGGCAGAAAAACATTTCTGGAAATTGAGTTCTTATATGTGGCAGCGTTTCCCCCTTTGAATTTTCTCTGTGAAATCAGGGTCTTGTAACCATTTAAAAATTGTATTACAACCCTAGTTGGTATGGCTCAGTGGATAGAGCGTCGGCCTGCAGACTGAAGGGTCTCAGGTTTGATTCTGGTCAAGGGCACATGCCTGGGTTGCGGGCTTGATCCCCAGTGCGGGGTGTGCAGGAGGCAGCCAATCAATGATTCTCTCTCATCATTGATGTTTCTCTCCCTTTCCCTTACTCTCTGAAATCAATAAAAATACATATTTAAAAAAATTACATACATATATGCATAATCCATAGACTCTGACAACAGTGTAGTGATTGCCAGAGGCAAGGAGGAGCCGGGTTGAGGTAGGCAAGAGGGGGGTTGGGGAGAGGTGAGAATGGAGACATCAAAAGTCCGGTTGTTCTGCCGGGTCTATAACAGAAGCCGGAGTCTACTGATCTTCCCCACCCGATTCCGGCCGCTCAGCCATTTTAACTGTTTCTTCAGCGTTTGGTCTCCACAAATCTCAATTGTATGCACAACTTTGCCACCTCGTGACTTGTCCAGCCGCAGACATCTCTTATGACTTTCTGACGTCCTGACGCATGTTACAGCATGGGTCAGCCTCGAAAGCAGGACACTCCGCAGAAACGATCCAGACACAAAGGGATGAATACTGTATTATCCACTTACACGAACGCTCGAGAATAGGCAAG